TTTTTCACTTTTTATTGTGACCTGGGTGAAAGTTTTCAGATCAATATTGGTTTTCCATTCAACAATTCATACGCATTTCATTTTGTGACATTTATTGCAGTCCCCAGCATGTAACAACATTCTTCCCATTTCTTCCCTAGGTTTCCATATCATATCCATTTCCTTCTTTGCTTTGCTGTTCTACCGTCTGATCTTTATCCTGGGCAAATGCTGCCCTTTTGATTTATGGTTGATTGTTCTTAGGAGTACATTCCTCCTTGTCGATTGTTTCGCTGAAAGTTGAGTCTTGAAGCGACTTCGGTTCCAGGTTTTAAGGTCATGGTGTGGTGCTGTGGGTTAATGCGCCAGACTGCAAAGCTATTTGAATTGCAGGGTCAGCACTTACAGCTCACCAGCTGCTTGCTCCTTGGAAACCCTAGACAGGGTCAGTATGGGTCAGAACTGACTCGATGGCACTTAACAACAAGGGCCATAGTCTTTCTTTATTAGCTTTTTGAAAAACAACAGCTTCATTTGAGATGCTGTTGTTAAGTGCCATCGAGTCAGTTCTAACTCATTGCGGCCCTGTGCACAACAGAATGAAACACTGCCTGTCCTGCGCCGTCCTCACAGTTGTTACACTTAAGCCCATTGCTGCTTCCCCTGTGCCAGTCCATCTTTAGTCATCATTGATGCCATTGTATGTCGTTGAATTGATTCTGACTTTCAGCCGGCCCATATGACAGAGTAGAACTGCCCATAGTGGTTTCCTACGTTGTAATCTTTATGGAAACAAACGACCAAGTCTTTTATCCTGCAGAGCTGTAAGCAGATTCAAACCACTGACTTTTCAGTTTGTTGTTAAATACTGTGGAATCAGTGCTGTCTCTTAGTGATTCTGTATATGTACAAGACTGTACATCTTTCTCCTGTGGGCATCTGATAGACTCTAACCGCTGACCTTGTAGCTCTCAGTCCAGTGCTCATTTATTAAGATTTCTCTAAATTATTAATGATAATGAGCATTTTTTCATGTGCTTATTGGTCAATTTTGTTATCTTTGGAGAAATGTCTACTGAGACATTTTGACCACCGTTTCAGTTGAGTTAATTTATATTCTTACTGTTGAGTTGAATATGCTGTTGATGTATTCTGTCTTTGGACTAATTTTTACTCATAAAAATTGTGCCTTTTTCTTTGACTATGTTTAGTTTAGCGTATGATTTTCTTTGGGAGGTATGTGTACCTGCAGTCTTTTCTCCTTGAGGAAGCTGTTAAAGACATTCACTGCCAAAATGTTTTTATATTGAAATCAGCTATAGTTTGCATAGGAGTCCTGGTCACATTAGAAACTATCAGTCACTCTGCTTGAGAAAGATCAGACTTTGTGCTCCCATAAAATTGGAAACCCTTTATAGGGTCTCTGTGAGTCAGAACTGATTTTGACACACAGCCACCACCAGTGTGTTAGCATGAATAGCCATTTTTCATTCTCTCCTTAAAGTTGTACAGTCTTTTAAAGATAGATTTGAAAAGGTGGCTCTTGATGCCCACTGACTGACCCCTTCTCCTATTTTCAATGGCTATGTTGGGAGTCCTGGTATGGCACTGTGTGGTAATGTACTGTACTACAAGGTCGGTTTTATCCACAAGGTCAGTGGTTCACACTCACCAGCTACTCCTTGGAAACCCTGTACAGGGTCACTGTGAGTTGGAACTAAGTCAACGGCACTTAACAATAACAAAAAATGTTGGAATATCAGATTAAGAAACAAGCCTGATACTTTCCTTTTATCCTTTTTTTTTGAGATAATAAGAGGAGCAGTTGGATGCTTTCAAAAGAGCATAGGCAGGTGAATGTCATGTCTGTATTCTGAGACGCTGGGACCATTTCACATTGGAATGGGTACTGCAGAGTCCATCAGCTGATTTTCCTTAGTTTTGTTATTTTGCCTTTTTATGGAGATTTCACATAGCCTATTTCAGAACTTTCCTGTTGTTACTAGTACCAAGTTTTCTTACTGGAATCAAGACTACCAAGGAAACACATGATAAGCAATGCTGAAATGTAGAACTAATTCAGCTTATTGTTTAAAAGTCAGTAAGAATAATTAGATTATATAATTTGTACCTTATCATTGTAAAGGAAACCTTAAAATAACTACTGCATGTTTACATTCATGTTAAGTGGGTTACATGAATAGATATGAAACAATAAGTAATGAAAATAGTATTGTTGGTATAAAAGCTTTGATATAGCTTTATAAAATGCCAAGGAACAATATGAGGGAAGCTTAGTAGTTGAAGTTTCATCAGGAGAGAGGAGGTACTCTGAATTAAGTTAAGGTTAACAGACAAGACCATCAGCTTTACTAAAATTCAACAGATTGTACGCTTTGTTTCATCTCAATGATTACCATCGCCTTCTTGCATCAGTAGTTATCCTACTTCCCTCCCTATGGCTTCCATTTTACATCATATATTTATCAAATAAGCAAAGCAAAAATATTTCATATACACATGTTATTGTTGTAAAGTGCTGTCGAGTTGATTCTGACCCATAGCGACCCTGTACAAGGTTTCCGAGGCTGTAAATCTTTACAGGAGCAGAAAGCCTCATCTTTCTCCTGCAGAACAGCTGGTAGTTTCAAACTGCTGACCTTGTGGTTCGCAGTCCAATTCGTAACCACTACACTACCAGAGATCCTTATATACACATACAAAACGAAAAATTTCTGTTCAGTTAAATGTCCCAAGGGCATACTCTGCAAGCCAGCCTCCTGACGATAGGCACACAACCGTTTTTCAGTCCATGTACATAGAGCCTGCAGCTGCTTTTTCTCTCCATGCTATTGCCTCTGCCCCTATCTCTGTTGTTGCTGCTTTTCTAGGCAGACTCTTATGTTCCGCTCATGGGTCTTCTTTCTTGATGGTACTGGGATCGTCTTTTCCTGAAATGAAAGATTAACTCCTCTTCCATTTAGTTATACAACCTCTACAATTAACATTTGTGACAGTCACAACTAATCCTGCTAACAGTTACTGACAGTTGAATCATAAACTCATATCAACATCATTCCCCGCTCCCCTTCCACCAGATCGATCTGAAGAAGAGGACAACTATTCAGTGGGGATTCTATCTTAACTCCCCTTGTTCTAAAATGTAAATACACTCATAAAAGCTTGTAAGCCAGCCTTTCAAAGTGATGGGAGGTTTTCTTTGTAGGAAATGTAGTGATTGTGGTGAGAGAGGATTAGGCTAACAGGCAGGTGTATGGGAGGGTAGTATTTTAACTATATGGGGCAGCTGGTTTAGCCAAGAGTAATGGATCATAGGACTAGAATCTTGAGAGAATAGGACACAGACTGAGAAATTACTGTGTCATCTTAATAGTTAATGCTCAATTTTTAAAAAAGTATATTTTTTTTCTTGTGAACTGAAAATTTTGTCTTTTAATAAATTTTAAGACTATGTCACTGGTTTGTCAACTTGACTGAAGTGGTTTTTTGTTTGTTTGTTTGTTTCCCTTTCCAGAAGATTGGTTGAGACCAGTGACGAGAAAGGATAAGCAGGTGCTAGTGCATTGGGGCTTTTATCCAGACAGGTAATGTTGATCTGCTTTGAGATCTGATATAAATATTTTTGTCAGCACAAACCAAAATTAATCATACATAATTTAATTTTATGAGTAGTGACAACTTTATTGATACGTGGGACTTAGCTATTGTTCCCATTTTATTAAGTATTTGACTTATTTTTTCTAAAAGATTCCTTCCAGATGGAAATAGGATGGTAATTATTTCCTTCACGAAATAGACAAACAGAATTTGTTCCCTTGTGTTCAAGACTGAAGTCTTGGTGTGATGTGCTGTAGGATAAGCATCGGAATGTTAAGTGCAAGGTCAGTGGTTCAAACCCATCAGCTGCTCCTTGGGAATCCTATACAGAATCACTATGGATTGGAACCAACTCAATAGAACTTAATAACAGCACAATTATCTATAAGTCATAGTCATGCTAGACTATTAAGAATGAACAATTTATGTCTAAATGAAAAAAAAATGTATTTCCCTAGCATTATTATTGTCACATGTAATTAATATTGTGTTTTTATAGCTAAAGTATAAAGAATATTGTGAATAAGAGATAAATGTTAGTGAGAATGAGTCCGTGTTGAATTATAATCCTATAAAGAATACAGAGTATAGGGCTAGCCTTTCGTGTACTTTAGCTTCCTAAAATCCACGCTAGTGTAGCTTTGATGTTTGTTTCATATTGTCAAGTGGAGATCCTCTTCATTATGGGTTTTTCAGGTCACCCCTGTCTTCTTCCACCTCTCTCCCCATTCAATTTTGCCTTCCCATATTTCAATGATAGCCCAAGCATATCATTTAAATCATAACTATTTCAGCATGTTATTTCTAAAGAATAAAGACAGTTTAAAAAGTATAACCATATTGCCACTATAAAATTTATAATGAACAGTTCTTAATATCAAATATTCATTAGTCACATTTTGACTTGTCATATAAATGATAACATTTTATGACTACATTTTCTTTGGAGTAGAATTTCTTGATAAAGCTTTTAAGTAGGATTTAATTGATAGGTTCTCTGTCTTCCCCACCTCTACTGGCAGTTTGAGAAACCTAACTTGGCCCAGAGAGTTTAATGAAATTTGAATTTTATTTTTGTTTGTTTGCGTCATGTGGTGTAGTATAACAGGATTCTCTTGTTCTCTGTTTTGTTTCCTTTTTTTTTTTTTTTTTCTTTAAATAGTAGTTGTCTCTAGACACCAATCTGATTTCTGCCTGGAGCCAGCCCCAGCAAACTTATTCCAGGGTTTTTCTGAAGGCGGGTGCGGACGTCGGCGATAAGGATTACACTGAGTCAATGGGTCTTCTTCTTACATGCTTTAATATTCTTATTTCTATGCTACTCTAATACTCTACTTCTCTCCTTCTTTACTGTCCTGCTCTTTCTTTACTCCCCTGCTCTCCTGCTCATCTCTTCTGCTTCTTTTCTCCCTTCCCCTGCTCCTGCTTTCATTCTCTCCTCTCCTGCTCATCTCTTCTGCTTCTTCTCTCCCTTCCCCTCCTTCCATTTCTTTACTGTCTCTTTCTTTATATTACTCTTATTCTTTTTTCTTCTACACTACTCCTCCTAATTATCTACATTACTGCTTTCACTACTCCACTCCCCTGCTCCTTCTCTACATTATTCCCTCTATCCTCCCTCCATTCTTTTCTCATCTCCTCTCCACCTCATATTCCTTCTTCTTCCTCTTCCTCTCACTACTTCCATATTCCTTTTACTTACCTCTACTTACTCTACTTCCTTCTATTCTTTCTTACAATCAAGTCTGGGGCACATTCCTCATGGTTTACAACTCTTAAATTTACAACAGGGATGGGAAGTTACAACAAAGACTTTATCTCAAGGCATAGGAGACATTCAGGCGCCTTGAAACCTTTTAGTTAAACATTTGTTCCTACATAAATCCATTTTTTTCTCTGAGAAGCAAGTTAACCTTCACATATGTTTCTTAACCTTTGTCTGTTAAGTCTTGTTAATTTTAGTTGTTAGGTGCAATTAACTCTCCATTAACTTCTTCCATACACTATCTGTTTATAGCCTACAAAAACATCACTTATCAGGGAAACTGAGGCTATGAAAAACAACTCCTCTGTTTTGCTGATCATTAATTTAAGAACGTCTAAGTCAGACTTTTTATTTAGTATCTGTATATACCCATAGCCTTTATCTGTAGTCTAATTGTTTTTAGAAATTCCTGTACCCACAGCCCTTATTTATATAGTCTGTTCGCTTTCAGGATTCTTTATTGCCTTAAACTAAGGCTACAAGGAAGAATGTTTACAATCACTAAATCTAAGCTGTTAGTAATTCAATTGACAAATGACAAATCCTGTCTCCTAGCAGTCTTAAGAATATTGTTAATATAAGTATTAAAACTACCTATGATTCCAAGTAGAATAAGATGTAGCTAATGTGTGGCTTCTAACTTTTAATAAAAATATACTAAAGTGTCAGAGAGTCAAAAATCTTAAGTAAAAGGGATACTAATAAAATCATAAATAAGTCAAAATGATTCAACAGAAAAATTTAACTAGGGATCTGCGCATAGAAATAACTCTGTGGCTCTGCCATCCAAAGAAAATCATTCATCGTAGCTCTGCTAAAACAATGAATTCTTCTATGTGCAGGTTTCCCCATGTCTCATTTATTTGTTTTAATTCCTGAATTAATATGTCTCAATTTATTTATTTTAATTCCTTAATTAATTATGGCTCTTGCCAGATTTCTTTTCAGTTTTGGAGAGAGATCATACTGTTGCATAGGTGTGTGTTATTCCAACAAGATAACAATCCATCACTGCATTATTTTTCAGTTATTCAATTAGAGTTACTTTATTTTTCATCTGAATATATTCTTAAAAGAAGGGGAAATATATGTTTAAAATATAGTTTTTCTATACATTAAGTTTATTAGATTCAAATCAAGTTATCTTGGTAATCAACCTCTTTGGAATTATAACTGACCATTTGTATGTGAACATATGATTTTTAAAAAGAATAAAGCTTTGTAGGAAGCATTTCTAATAACAAAGTGTCTTTAGTTTCCTAGTGCTGCTACAACAGAAATAGAACAAATGGATGGCTTTAACAAAGAGAAATTTATTTTCTCGTAGTTCAGGAGACTAAAAGTTAAATTTCACAGTGCTAGCTCTAGTGGGAAAGGCTTTCTCTCTGTCAACTCTCAGGGAAGGTCCTTGTCATGTGGCTAAGGTTCCTTGGAGATTTACATGTGTCTTGGACTTAGTCTTACCCTGGGTCTAGGAGGTTCTCAGCATAGGGACCTTGGGTCCAAAGGCTCTTCTTTCTTGGTCCCTCTGAACTCTGCTTCAGTTTTATCTCATTTATATCTCAAAAGAGATCAACCCAAGATGCAGTCTTGTTGTTGTTAATTGCCTTCAAGTCGGTTCCGACCCATAGCGACCCTGTACAGGGTTTCTGATCCTCACTAAATTGTTGTTAAGTGCCTTTGAGTCAGTTCCGATCCATAGCAACCATAAAGAGGGTTCCAAGGACCAGCTGGTGTAGTTCAAATGACTTTGCAGTCTAATGCATTAGCCCACAGCACCACACCAGGACTCCCCTCATTAACATCATTTTTGTTGTTAAGTGCCTTCTAGTTGATTTTGACTTACCTCTTGTATACGGTTTTCAAGGAGTTGACTGACTGGTGTGTTTGAATCGCTGACCTTGTAGTTTAGACTGTCCTTGCTGTCTAGTGATTGTTTTATGGTGCCACACCAGGAAGTTAGGATTTATATCCTGGGATAATGAAACAGATCACAAAATCAAGCATATAGTACATAATACTGAGGATCATGGCCTAGCTAAGTGGACACATATTTGTGTGTGTGGGAGTGGATACAATTCTATCCATAGCATAAAGCTTCAAGGCAGTATTCATTAGCATATTTAAACTGTTTTATGTTGTAGGAACTGTTACAGGAAAGCCCTTTGCCCTTCAGAACTCTTAGAAACTCGAATATGACAAGCTACATAAGTAAAGGATTGATATGATTTTATATCAGACACATTAGACTGTTTGCTAATGTTCTATTGCTGTTAAGTTCCTCCAAGTCAATTCTGATCCACAAGCGACCCTGTATAGGGTTTCCAAGGAGCAGCTGGTGAGCTGGAACTGCCGACTTTGCAGTTCAAATGGCTGTAAGTCTGGCGCATTAACCCACAGTGCCACACCAGGACGTTTTGTATTTAATGTAAAAAGATGGAGTTGTTCAGCTTGGGTCTTGACTTCCTAAGAGGCCTCATTAGTTCATTAACTGTACCCTGTGTTACATTTTCTAATGGAGTCTTTCCACAAAAAAGAATATCAGGTTACCGCTTTCGCCTTTCACCATTGTATTCTTTCTTGGTATACTTAATTGAAAAAGGATTTTTTTTTACCTTCTGGGTAACATTTTAGTGTTCCTAGATGTTATGTGCCAACTCATATCAACATTGTAGGATAGAGTAGAAATGCCCTTTAAGGTGTCCTGGGCTGTAATTTTCAAATGAACAGGTTGCCAGATACTTTCTCCTACAGAGTTGCTTGTGATTTGCTGTCAGAAAACATACTAGAGAGGGAGAACAAACAAGATGGCGGATCTGGTGGACGTGTAGCAGAGAGCTCCGCCAACAACAACACAGAATACCCGACCAAGCAGCCTCAGGGGATGGTCCCAGAACTCTGAACCACATATAAA